TCACCAATCACGCATTTCGATGCATGGTGGCCAAAGGTGTCAAAGGTGCATATCGATATGGAATGAATGCAACAAACAAACAAATGCTACACACTCTATCATATTGGGTCAAGAGTGTCGGCGACCGAGAATTGAGGCACGTTTCGTCACTTCAAGTATAAAACATCCCTTGGTCCTCATGTTTGGTTTGACACCCCAAACCAAACAAAAATGCAATGCATGTATGCCAAATGCAATGCGAAACATGCAATTAATGCAATGCAACACGAACAATGCAACTTAACATGCAAGCAATATGGTAATACAATAGGTATGCAATACTACAATGCAACCTAGGTATGTAAGTATACAAAGTGATAGGCATGCAACAATGACACCAACCACAAGGATGCGACAACATGCAATGCGGTAAGCCTACAACAATACATGAGTGCATGATCCATGGACTTACACTAAGGATGGATAGGACTCATCTGTACCAAAATAGTGGCCAAAGTGCTAAGAAATGATGGACAAAACACACCCAAACATGCACATGTAAAGGTCCAACACTTAGGCATAAAAAGAGTCGACTCTTAAGCACATTAAGAAGAGACAAATATGGACAAATGACAAGCATGATAAGCTCTGAAAATGTGCAAGGGATGATGCCAAATCAACCAAGCCATGCAAGTAGGGCATGCAATAAAGCCCAAAACTTGAGACTAACAAAGGGGTTCAAACCATGGCCATATCAACCAAGCCCCAAGGAGCCAAGATGACTTAAAACAGTCTTAGGGTGGACCAAAATAAGGCTAGAGCATGCATGGAACAAGGCCAAATCATGCTAAGAAATGGGCGCAACATAGAGGGCATTCAAGGCCACAAAGAGAGCATTCCACTACAACTACCTCAACCAAACATGGCATGGGTTATGCAATGAAAAACAGAGCTATAATATGTCAAGATAAGCCCCAATACCCACTTAGATGACATCTAAATGACATAAGTCTAGAGGTATGCACAATGGCCCAAACATGGAGCATAAGACAGCAACTCTTCAAAGCATTGAAAGGATGACAAATACAAGCATACAAGCATGGAACATGGACTAAAATAGCATGACAAGTGATTCCAAACCACTGAAATAGCCCAAATAAAGCATGCTCATGAGTCACACACCTCAAGCTAACAAGCTAAAATGCATGGTGGCTATACAAAACATGCCAAACATGACCAAATCAACACTAAATAGAGCTTAAACATTTCAAAACATGGATAAAAGCTTCATGAAGTCAAGCTAAAACATGCAAGTATGATGGTCTAAATGCATGATACATGTTTAGGCAAATGATAGGATTGCAAGGCAAGTGCATGATACATCAAATAAGCCAACGAACCAACATGAAACAGAGGTATAACATGATAAAATAACACCAAATACCCACTGAAATGAAGCTAAAATGCATTAAGCCAACATGCTACCTTTACAAGCCAATAATGCAAGCAAATGAGACATAAAGGGAGAGGGGTGTCCCTCCCCTATACAAGACCTCAAAACCACTTCTCCACCACTGAAAATCCTCTGGATTTTAGTGGTGAGAAGGTCAAAATAAAAGGGTTCCAAAGCCCAAGAAGAAGGTCACAAAAAGAGGCCAAACAAGGCCTAAGAGGGGGTAAACAACCCCCAACCCAAAAGTAACCTTAAACAAACACCTTAAGAATGAAAATATAGAACTCTTATCAGTTATACACTAAGCTTAAAACAACATGCAAGATAGGCTAAAAGCTGAAGGCAAAATGGGGAATAAAAGGGGTAGTTCTCACCCTTGAAGAACACTTCAAGAACACCAACTCCAGCACCTCCTTCTGATCAAAACCAACTCGAAAACTATAAAATCAACCCCTCAACACCTCAGTAACCAAAGCATAGTGTAACACTAGGTGCCTTAGTGCAAAAATAAGAACAAAAACACACTTTTGAACACTATTACACACACAAATATAGAGAGAGAGTGATATATATCATATATCACAGGGTGTTCAACCTCTGGAAAGGGAGGGGAGGCCCTCCTCTGATAGGAAATCCATTTCCAAGCTTCCAAGGGAAGCTAAGTGTAAGGATGAAATCCCTCCATACACGTGTATGGAGGTAGAGTTTATGCTCACCAGCTGGCACAGCTGGCATGCATAAGGCCTGAAAAAGGCAAAGAAAAGGTCTCAGCCAGAAAAATGGCCGGTCGACCAACACGTATGGCCGGCCGACCAAAAACAGTGCCGATCGGCCAATAAACTTGGCTGGTGGCAATAACTCATGGCTGGTGACCTCAGGCCATGGCCGGTGGGTTGAAGAAGTGGCAAACAAGCCACCCTCTTTCCTTAAAAACAGAAAGACAAGTGTTTGGTCCACAACCAAATACAAAACAGTCAAGTTGAGAGATCTTGAGGTAAGGCGCGCAGTCGGGACCTCCGAGAACTCAAAACGAACACGAACATGGATGATCATCGAGTGTTCAAATGATGACGTCCAAGTCTTGAGGACGGTCAAAAATGGGGTGTCTATACTAGGTCAGCCCCACCAAAGAAAATAAATACCAGACCTATTGGCTCAACTTGTTCGGCTAACTAAAGTTCTACTATTCTTAGGGGTAGCACCATTCCGAATTGTCCAAGTTGTGGAAAAGCTCATCGGGGACAGTGCTATCGGGTAATGTGAGCATGTTATAGATATGGCCAAGTTGGCCATTGGGCAAAAGATTGCACAAAATTCACCAACACTGTGATGGGTACTCTTGAACCAACTCAGAAACTAGGAATAGCCATAGAAGGGAGAAAGGAACAAAAACGCCAAGAGAGAGCTTTTGCTTTAATGCTTGGAAACCCTAATGCTACTGAGAACGTTGTGTTAGGTACACTCTCTATATGTGGTCATTCAGCTCATATTCTTATTGATTCTGGATCAACTCATTCTTTTGTTTCTCTACACTTTATCCCCAAATTGACATCAGCACTTGAACTTTTGGGAATGGATTGGCTTGCTACCAATCATGCCTTTATTGACTGTACAACCAAAAAGGTCTTTTTTTAGTTACCCAACCAATGAGAGCTAGTCTTTGAAAGGACTGGAGTTTCGACCACTCCGTGTTTAATATCCTTCGTGATAGCCCAATGACTTTTGAGAAAAGGTTGTTGTGGTTGTATTTGTTATGTGGTCGACACTCAATAAATAGACCCAACATTCGATTCAATACCCGTCATTCAAAAATTTCCTGACGTCTTTCTTGAAGACTTACCTGGTACTTTAGTTGACCTTGAAGTCAAATTCACCATTGAAACTCAACCCGATACACAATCGATATCAAAAACCCCTTATCGCATGTCGATGGTGGAATTAAAAGAATTGAAAACGCAACTTCAAGAATTGCTCAACAAGGGTTTCATACAACTAAATACCTCACCATGGGGAGCTCTAGTGCTATTTGTAAAGAAAAAGGATGGTACGATGAGATTATACATCGATTATCGAGAATGAAACAAGGTTACCATAAAAAATCGGTACCCTTTGTCGCAAATTAATGACTTATTTGATCAACTTCAAGGTACTCAAGTATTTTCGAAGATCAACTTGAGGTCTGGCTACCATCAAGTAAAGGTCAAAGTCGAAAGCATTGAGAAGACTACCTTTAGAACACGTTATGGACATTATGAGTTTCTTTTCATGCCATTTGGCATCACAAACGCTCCAGCGGCCTTTATGGACCTCATGAACCAAGTATTCAAACCCTATCTCGATGTGTTCGTTATTGTCTTCATTGATGACATTCTCGTATACTCTAAAACACCAAAAGACCATGAACAACACTTACAATCACTTCTGCAGACACTACGTGATCACAAACTTTATGCCAAGTTAAAGAAATGCGAATTTTGGATCACTAGCATACACTTGGCCACGTGGTTGACAAGAAGGGCATCTCCATCGATCCACAGAAAGTTGCAGCTATCGTGAATTGGCCACCACCCACTAATGTATCTGAAGTTTGGAGTTTCTTAGGATTGGCAGGATATTACCGATGCTTTGTTCAAGATTTCTCGAAGATTGCATCACCATTGACTCAATTGACCCAGAAGAACACACCATTCGAAGTGGATAGATAAACAAGAACGATGCTTCCAGGAGTTAAAAAATAGACTTGTGACAACGCCCATCTTGGCACTCCCTACTGAAACAAATGGATTTGTAATCTACAGCGATGCCTCATATAATGGTTTGGTTGCGTAGTTATGCAAGATAGGAAAGTTATTGTGTATGCCTCATGTAAACTAAAGACTTACGAGAAGAACTACCCAACTTATAATTTGGAATTAGCTGCGGTGATTTTCGCTTTTAAAATTTGGCGTCATTACCTCTATGGAGTAACATGCAAAATTTACACCGATGGCAAGAGTCTTAGATATCTATTTACCCAGAAAGAACTAAACACGAGGCAATGACGATGGTTAGAGTTTATGAAAGATTATGATGTAAAGATTCAACACCACTCAAGCAAGGCTAACGTGGTGGCAGATGCACTGAGTCGGAAGACCACCCGAAGTTTGGCATACTTCCTCACTAACAATAAATCACTCATTGGAGACTTGGAAAGATTAGACTTAGAGTTGGTTCCGCACATAGCTGATGGATTTCTTGCTAATATAGTCATGGAACCTACAGTAGTCAATGAAATTAGGACGCGTCAATGTGAAGACAAGTTTTTGAAGAAAAGATACGATGAGTAAGGAAGTACGCCCAATTCCGATTTTACCATAGACAATGGGGTACTAAAATTTCGAAACCGAATTTGTGTACCCGACATTCTAGAAATCAAAAAGAAGATATTAATGGAAACCCATAGCTTGAGATTCCCAGCTCATCCTAGAAATACGAAAAATGTACCTTGACCTGAAAGAGCATTATTGGTGGACAGGAATGAAGAGAGACATAGCACGCTATGTTTCCAAATACTTCCAATGTCAACGATTTAAAGCAGAGCATCAGAGACCTGTAGAGCTGCTATAACAATTCCCTGTTCCTAAATGGAAATGGAACACATTACAATGGATTTTGTTATTGGATTACCACAATCAACCTCAAAAAACGATGTAATATGGGTCATAATAGATCGATTAATGAACTCAACACATTTCCTACGCATCAGAGTCACATACTCCCTTGAAATCATTCGATTACATGGCGCCCCGATATCAATTGTACTTGATCGAGACCCTTATTTCGTATCTCAATTTTGGAACAAGTTACAGGCAGTTTTGGGAACTACACTAAAGTTTAGCACTGCTTATCACCCACAAACTTATGAACAATCTGAAAGAACGATTCAGACATTGGAGGACATGTTGTGGGTATGTGTATTAGACCTTAAGGGTAATTGGGACAAGCATCTGTCATTAGTAGAATTCTCTTATAACAACAGTTATCAAGCATGTATCAAGATGCCACCATATAAAGCATTGTACGAGAGGAAATGTCGATCACCTATTGTAGACACCCCATTTTTGACCGACCTTAAGACTCAGACATCATCGATTGAGCGCTCGGTGATTGCGCATGTTGTGCTCGTTTCGAGGTTTCGGAGTTCTTGGCTGAGAGCCTCGCCTCCGGACCTCGGGACCCTTTGTACTTTGACTTGGTCCACGGACCAAGTTTTGTTTTCTCTTCCTGGAGGGAGGGAGTGTTCTTGTAGACCATCTCTCAGTGGTCGTAGGCTACTTTTCATGGTTGTAGGCCACTGTTTCCATTTGGAGACTAGTTTTCGATTTTCGGAGCTGTCGGCCGCGTGCTTCGGCCTGGGACCGCTTAACATTCTTCGTTTGGCACGGTTTTTGGAACACACCTTGTTTCCTCTATCTAGAGAGACATTGTGGTCCGAGAGACCACTTTTGTGGTCGTACGCCACTTTTGATGCTCGACAGCTGGTTTTCGGGGCTCCCGGCTGCACGTCTTGCCTTCCGAACTCTCGTCTTACATCCGTTTTGGTTTGTCTTAGGTACAAACCTTACTTTCCATGTTTGGAAAGAGGTACAAGGGTGGGAGACTGTCTTTTATCCTTGGAGACCATTTTTCTTCCCGCCAGCCGATTTTCTGGTCGGGAAACTGGTTTTTTTGGTCTTTAGGCCACATTTTCTGGTTTCCCACCCCACAATTGGCTTGCTTTCAGTGTGGAGACTACCAATTCCCCCTGCCGACCACTTTTTTACCTGGGAGACCACTTTGGGTGGTCGATCGACCACTAAAAGTAGCAGGTCGACCACCTTTTCTAGTCGGCAGCTTTCCTTCTGTTTTGTCAGACTGAATGGATGCCAGCTGTGCCAGCTGGAGGGCACAGACTGTATCCTGAGGGATTGCATCCAAATTTTAGCTTCTTGAGGAAGCTTTAACTTTGTTCCTCTATAAGAGAGGCTCTCCCTCTCTATTCCACAGGTTTTGAAATTTCCTAGGAGTGATAGATACATCTCCCTCTCTATATTCTTCTCTCCCTCTATATTTTGTCCCTTAAAGAGTGTTATTCCTTCACTTTTGCACTACAACTCCTAGCCACACACCACCACATTTGAGCTGAGATCATTGGAGGTGCTTTTTGGGTCATAAGAGTTGGTTTTGGGCTGGAGGAATTGTTGTTGTTGCAGTGCTTCAAGGGTAACCTTCTTTTTTCCCCTTTTTAGCTCTATTTTGACCAATCTCTTAGCCATACTTGCATGCTTATTTGAGCTTTGTTTTCAACTAAAAAAAGCTCATTTTTGAGCACTTAACATGTTTGTTTAAGGCCTCTTGGGTACTGAGGGTCTCCTACCCTCTTGCATGCCTTGTTTGACCTTGTTTTGTGCCATGCCTTAGGGCCTTTGAGCTAATCCTTGCCTGCCCTTTTAGCCACTAAAATCCAGTGAATTTTCAGTGGTTGGCATGTGGTTTTAAGGTCCTAAATCAGAGAGGGGTGACCCTCTCTCTTTTTGTCTTGTTTACTTGTATTTTTGGCCTATCAAAGGAGCATACATTTTCATACTTTCAAGGCTTGGTTCAGGCACTTTTTGGTGACTTTTAGGGCCTGCCTAGACTCTGTCCATGGTTGGTTTTGTCACCCTTGGCATGTTTCTCATATGTGTAGTGCATTTCCATTTATGGCTCATCAAGGTAGCATGTCAATCTAGCATGTTTTAGTTCCATTTTAGTGGGTTTTTGGTCATCATTTGACATGTCATGGCTCTTTTTTTGGCTGGTTTGGTAACCTCTCACATGCTTCATATGCTTGTAGTGTAAATCTTGTTTACTAGCTTGGTTTGCATGATGTTTTGGCTCTTTATTCTAGCACATTTTGGCTTTGCTCCAACATGGTTTTGTTCATATTTTGGGCTACCTTAGCTTTGATTTGAGGCCTCTTGGTCGAATGATGCTCGCCATGCATGCTTGTTGTGTAATAGCCTTGACTAGCTTTGAGTTTTGAGGTCTCTTGCATGCTTAACTTGAGATATTTGCATGTTTTGGCATCATTGGGAATGTTATTTCAGAGCATGTAGGGCTACTATACTTCCATATTTTCCACTCTTTAAGTGCTCTTTAGAGTTATGCTTTTATGCTCTATTTGTGAGCCATTGCATGAGCCCCATTTTTGTGCCTTTCAAAGCCATCATCCCAACTCATTTTGCTACTATTTTGGCCTGCATAGGGTCTGTTTGGGGTTAGTTTGGTCATTTGAGCATCGCCTTGCATGCCTCTAGTGTAATATGCTTCACTAGCTTTTAATACTTGAGCCTTTCAACATGCATTGCGTGAGTTGTTTGCATGATTCGAAGTCATTTTGTATGCCATTTCAGTGCTGGAACACTTGCCATTGTACTCCATGTTTCATCTTTTCAATGCTCTTGGAGAGTTGTATTTTGTGCCTTAAGCTTGGGCCATTGCATTATACATGTTTGTGTGTGTTTTGGTGCCTTGATTTCATCATCAATGGCCGCTGATTTGGACATGGCTGAGGCCTATTCATTTCGGTTTAAGTCCATTACGCATTGAGTATGTCATGTAGTTCGTAGCATATGCCATGTTGTTATGTGATTGATCATTGCACTTGTGCATGCCATTTTCATTGCATTATATATGTTGGTTACCACGTGCATCGTGTATGTTAGTGTCATGAGTGTCGTGTATGCCATGTAATTCATAGCATTGTGTATGCTAGTCGCATGTTTGCATGTCCATCCCTTGCATGTTTGCATGTCTAAGTTGTATCGCATTAGGTTGCATACTTGAAGTCGCATTGTGCATGCCATGTTTGTTGCATTGTGTTTGGGATAGGAGTTAGCCCAAACACGGGAAACGAGGGGCGTTTCATACTCGAAGTGATGAAACGCGCCTCAATTCCCGGTTGCCAACACTCTTGATTATACATGATGGAGTTTTAGGCTTTACATGTTCTTATGTGCATTCATTTCATATTGAGTCGCGCAATTCGGCTCCTCGGCCATCATGTATCGAGATGCGTGATTGATGGCCCGAGGGTTGAAGCCTACACTCCCTTGAGCTTATATAATGACAGGGAGGGTGGTCGCGCATACATGTGTTGCAAATACTTTGCCATGCCCCTTTCTTGCCCTCTGTTGCAGAAAACCAGAAACTAGCAGCAAAAACTGGTCGGCCGACCAAATAAAGTGGCTGGCCGACCACTTTTTCTGGTTTTCACCACAAAAAGTGGTCGGCAGGTGGTCTCCAAGGCCAATATCTGGTCGGCAGCATCCCTACAGATTCCCAAGGTGGAGTTTCTTCTCTCTGGAGCTTGGTGCAAGTTTCTAAGATCAATTGCAAACAGAGGCAAATCGGGGCATCGCGAGGGATTTCTGAATAAGGCGACTTGAGCATGCATGCATCCTTTGTCATCCAAAGCAGAGCTGAGGTAGCCTATTTCATTTAGTTTACATGCTTATTTAAATTGCTTACTTAGTTAATTTGTTGATTAATTAGAGTTGTGTAATAATTAGCTATTGCTTGTTATTCATTTCATTGTGTAATAACTAGTTTAATTAGATTAGCTTAGATTAGCTAGTCGATTTCGTATTATTCATTCGGACCCTTCGTCGAGAGGGCACAACTGTTGTAAATAAGTGTGCGTGTATGTGATGCATGTCTTCCAACCCCCCATTTCTTTCTCCCTTTTATTTACCAGCTTACGATGGTTAGTTTTAGGGCATGTTTCAATTAGCATCCTTATGCTCGCATGTTTGCATCCATTCATCTGTCTTGCATGCATCGAGCTCGGCGCATCATACTAACTGCATTGTATTTCAATTCCTGTTTGAATACATGTATCAAATTGCATTTCACATGACATTTTAGAATAGCCGAGCCTATCTTAGTTGCATTTTGTATGTGTTGCATTAGGCATTCTTGACATAGCTAGGATCATGTATTGATTTCTAACATAGCTTTTGTTTTGGCTCAGAGTACTCGGTAAGTGTTTATGCTTTAGTATCCTTGCATGTGTGTGAGTGACTGCCATGATAGCATGCTTGCCATGAGGCTAACTGCTTATGTGATATAACTGCCTGAATGCCTGTGGGTGAAGGTTGGATTACTTGAATTGGAACAATTCATTGATTGCGAGTTTTAAGCCCACTTGAGAGTGGCAAAACACCATATTTTCTAAGCCCACTTGAGGGTGGCAAAATCCACATTTTAGCCTACTTACGAGTAGCAAACCGCTTTAAAAAATAAACATGAGATGTTTTGTTCCAACTTAGGCGATCCAGTCTATACTCTTATGCTGTGTGCATCACATAGTAATTCTAGGTTAATAACCGGAACAAGAGCGCATGTGTTTTCAAAAACAAGATATCATGTTAGTAAAGGCCGATCTTTGATCGGGCGAGCGGGGGTGCTCATTGCATGACCTTCCCCTCTCGTACCCAAGTTCCTGAGCCGAGGTAACTTTGGTGATGACGGACACGTGGCCTTAGGCACGAGTCAGGGTTTCCTAAATTTTCAAAAATAAAATGTTTAGGTGGCGACTCTGTATCTGGCAAAGCAGTCCATGTTTGGCACTTCTTTCTAAAAATCAGTTTTTCAAAACGATTTGCCGGATTTGAACTTTTTGATGATTTATCAATCTCGCATTGCACTTTGCAAGATCAGATTAAGAACTGTGACATTGAGTTCGAATTGTAGTAGTAAGCCCAATGAACAAAACGTGATTTTCCCGGGACGTTCGGGCGCGTCTACACCTATATGTTGAACAAAGGTAGAAGACATGAAGTTGTTGGGTCCAGAAATTGTGCAAATGACCAGTGACAAAATTCGACTTATCCAACAACGAATTCACACTGCCTAGAGCCATCGGAAAAGCTATGCAGATACACGGAGATGAGATTTGGAATTTCAAGTAGGAGAGCACGTTTTCTTAAAAGTCTCACCAACAAGGGTAGTCATTCGATTTGGAAAATGAGGGAAATTGAATTAGCGTTACATCGGGTCATTTGAAATACTAGAAAGGATTGGCCCTGTAGCATACTGTCTTGCCTTTCCAACAGAATTGTCCAACGTTCATAGTGTTATTCATACGTTGATGTTACGACGATATCTTCGAGATTCAGAACATGTCATTGATCATGAAGACCTAGAAGTTCAAAATGATCTCTTATATGAGGAGCAACTGGTACAAATCCTCGACCATCGTGTTCAGATTCTCCGAAACAAGTCTATACCTCTTGTAACAGTCTTATGGTAGAATCATCGTGTCGAAGAAGCTACATGGGAAATGGAGAGTCAAATACGAGCTTAATATCCATATCTTTTCGAAAACTAAGGTACGACAAGTTTGAGGACAAACTTCTATTTAGGGGGAGAGAAATGTGACATCTCAAATGTTTAATTTATTTTAAGCCTTTTGAGTCTTTCTCTAAGGATCTTCAAACAATGACTACACAAAATGCCCTTCATTTCAAACTTTCTACAACTGCAAGTGACTAAATCATCACACTCCTGTCTCACCTTCCTCACCTTTATACCATCACTATCAAGAACCGTATAAACGGTACTGTCACCATCATTTTCAATTTCTTCAATGTTGACTTCAAGGGACTTGACATACTCATCCTGAAATTCTTCAAAAATTTTATTTGTGTAAACATCTGCAGCTTGCTCCATAATCTTCACTTTAATATTCACCCTGGGCAACTTTTGACATAGAGCATATTCAGTTTGTAACTCTTTGTACCTTTTCTCAGACAGAACTCGATCAAAATGCATGAAAAATTGCATTAAGTTATGATCAGACCGAATGAAATCCTTCAAGAAAGCATTAAAGGATTCACTAAGTTGGGTGCTACTCATGCCCGCACCCCATGCATTTCTAACATATGGCCAACCCCATTTTTCCTTGACCCCAAATGTTAACTTCAACCAATGATTATCTGTTACTTCATACTTGTCAAGCATTTCCTCCCATTTTAACATAAACTCTTCCTCATCCTCAATGTCGTACATAAACGTGTATAAAACACTCTTCATCCCCTTATCCTTCATCGCCTTATCCTTGAAGATAGAATTTGCATGCCTTAATGCATTTTGCATCAAATGCCAAGTGCAAAGGCGGTGGGTTGTGTTAGGCATGACAATAGGTATGGCCTTAGCCATTGCAGCATCCTGATCCGTAAAAATTGTTTTTGGAGCCTTACTTGACATTGCCTCCAAGAATCTTCTAAAAAGCCATACGAAAGAATCGGCGGTCTCATCATACATCAAAGCTGCACCAAATACCACAGTTTCCCTATGATGGTTTAATCCAACAAAAGACGCAAATGGTCTATGTGCACATTTAACTTGTAAGTAGTGTTGAAAGTCACAACATTACCAAATTGCCCATAATCCATGATCATCTGAGCATCGGCCCAAAATATGTTTGTAATCTGCTCTTCGTTATCTAATTGGACCGAGTAAAAAAAAGATGGATTCTCCAATGATTTGTCACGAAAATATTGCAAAATGTTACCTGCCTCCCCATATGCTAAACTGTTTTGCCACTTCGTTCTCAAATAATTTTTTTGGTCCAGTTTTGTGAACCCAAGCGACTCCCTTCCACCAACTTCATTACCCATGAGCTCAAATGCAGCATTAAGACGGATTCCAGATTTTTCGGCTAAATCTATTTCGGTTGCTTGTGATTCAGATATCTTTTTTTGGGATGGTAACATATGCGTACATTCTGCTGGTACAAAGATATGATTATGTTGTTCAACAAAATCACTAACAAAAAATTTCTAAATATTCCTATCCCACTTAATGACAACTTGGGCTTGACAACCAGTCCTCACTTCCTGCCTAGGATTTTTTGTTAATGGATCTCGCTTGTCGACAACCCGAAATCCCTCCTTATTACAAACAAATTGCCTTGAAGTGATTTGCCCCTTTTTGCTCTTGTTTACATAACCCCTTCTAATACTAAAGCCCAACCTTCCTCCATAAGTATTATAGAAATCATATGCTTCTTGTTCTGTATCAAATGTCATGCGAACTCTAGGCTTCCAATCACACTCACTCCCGTCATTCTCATGATTGTTAGGTTCCATATCAATGTGCCAAGTCACTTAAAAAATAAAGAAGTGCTCAATATTAACATAAAAACTGTAAATTATGTTTGCAAAATAATATAAACTGAATAAGATAATCAACGAATAACAAACTAAATTATAGTCTTTGTTATGTATCACAGTGTGGTTTTAAGATGTTCAATACAACAGGTATTCATTGTTAAATTCAGGAAAAAAAAAAGGGATTATTTTTCTAAGAAATACCTAAACTATCTATAAATCTATATAATATATATATATATATAATCACAATGAATATTTGTTCTAAATAATCAAATTCATAATAAAATTGTTCTAAATCTATATATATATCTGAGAGGGTAATTTTGGTAAAAATTGGGCCGAGCTATGAGATTGTCATATTGGGCCACAATACAAAGGGCTGTGTAAGAAAGGCCGTAAAAGTTACTCCGGCCCTAGTTACGTACAAGTTATTCCAGCCTTATGAATGTTTTGGAGCTAGTCCGGTCCAACGTAAGAACGAAGTTAGATCGGTCTAAGCAGTACCTTTGAGTTAGGTCGGCCTTGGAGTTACACCAGTTGCAATTTGTTAGTTCAGGTCCAACTATGCCATTTATTGAACAAAGAGAGAACCAAGATAAGGTGAAGTTAAAGGAAGAACCGAACTAAAGTTAGTTCGGCCAACTTTGTGACTCATTCTACAGCTATGCTTAGTCATATTTACTTCGGTCGTATTGGAGTTCGGCCATGGTAAAAACCATCTCACTTGGTTTGAGCAGTGAAGGGGGTGTTAAAGGATAAGCATTATCCTACAGGAGTATGAATCCTAGGAGGACTCTGCATGGAGAAATAAGAGTCCTACTAGGATTGTGCCACGCGAAACTTATAAAAGCTCACAAACATCACCTTGGAGGAGGTAACACACAACTTTGCTTTCTGAATTCACAAAGCTTTGTCTATTTGTCAAGTTTTCTGACTTAGGCATCGGAGAGGTTTCCGGCACACACTCGCCGGCTAGCTCACGTTTGTGTTTTCAGGTGATAAAGCGACGTCGTACGGAGGATCACAGACTTGGTCAACAGGATTATACAAGAAGATTTATTTCTTTCCCGTACAATTGGCGCCGTCTGTGGGAAGAACAGACAGAACAAAACCTCTTGATCAAGCTTCTCCTCTTTTCAAACAATGGCACACATTGAAGAATTGCCGCAATCCGCCGTCGACGGGCTAACTCCAGATGGAGGCGCAAGGCGTGAAGGATTACCATTTGTCCCTTCCATGGCGGACTTGGAGCCCCAACGACATAACTCCAGGAGGGATGCTAGGGGGAGGTGGACTAACAGCCCCCGTCACTCTCACTCGCAAAGTCCTGATAGGCAAAGACGGAGGATTGATCCTCAAGCTCTGGAAGATCGCGTGAAGGAACAAGACGAATTGATAAGAAAGATGGCGGCGGACATAGAGGCCTTGAAATGCCAGATGAAGAAAAAAGAAGTGGCGATAGGAGAGGGGCGCAAAAACAAGACGCCCCCTCGCCACTCAGAAAATCGTAGCAGAAATACCACACCCTCGCAAGGAGAGAGCAGAAGCCTTAGGACAGGCGATACTCAATCCTGGTCTTCCAGAACTAGTCACTCCAGGTCTGAGAGGACGAGATCTGAAAGGTCATTCACTGAAGGAAGCACATATTGGCCCTCACATTCGCATCAAACCAGATCCAGACAAACGGAGTTACCCAGATCATCCGACTTACGAACCGTGCTCGAAGAAAAAGCACGATGCAAGGAGGATGCCAGGGCGCGGGATCCGCACAGAGTTTCTGCCTTACAGCGGTTGGCTCCTCGGACGCATGGAAGCGTCGAGGTTGGAATGCCAATACCGCGCCCTGCCTACGAACCAACAGACAAAGCATTAGCAAGGCTGCAAACTTCACCGTTTGTTCCGGCAATTGAAAACGTGCCCCTACCATCAGGCTTCCTTCAACCAAAATTCTCTACATATGAAGGGAAGACGGATCCCTACTCACACTTGAGCCACTTTCGCCAAGTCATGGCTGTATACAGGCGAAACGAGGCCTTAATGTGTATACTCTTCCCATCAAGCCTTGGCGACCTAGGCTTGACTTGGTTCGAAAAGCTCCCAGAGGGCAGCATAGCCTCCTGGGCACAATTGGCAG